TTTAGCCTCTGCATGACCAGTAATTGCAAAAGTGTTGGCAGAGAGGGAAGCTTGAACCTTGGGGTTGTTGAAGTGAATAACTGTTCCATCATCTTTTATCATGTTCACCTGTTTAAATATATTCATAACATTTACCAAAGTGTTGCAGCATCTTATTACACAAGCATGATAATTAATATCTCGATTAAAAATACTAAAAATTACAGAACTAGAACTTCTCCTAAAGGATAATATAACCATGATAAAAGCACCTGGAATTAAAACCTTCCAAACTTAAAAGTTCCAACAGCAAAGCCTTGCCACATCAGGTTGAACCATTGCCTTTCACAGGTACCTGTGTCACCTACCAGGAAACATTCCAGCTTTTGCCCAACTGGACAAGGCAAGACTCACAGTGGCTCAAGACAGGGATGCACACAGCACAGAGGGTTTATTTATCAACTGCACTAGAACAGACTTCTAATACCTTCCCAATATTTTCATGAGTACTCCTAAGACTAAGGACATCACACAGTGATCCTGCTCTCTTCCTCTTCCCTAGCTCTCTGAATCACCAAGAAATACATTTTACAGCCATTGCAGTGGCCTGCTCTGCTCCTCCTGTCAGAGTTCACACCGACATATTTATATACGTCTATGTTCTGGTTTTTAACTTACAGGGAAAAAGAATGGAAAATCGAAAAGCTTTTTTTCTGGGCATGGCTAAACTGGGTACAAACTACAGTTACGTGAAAAATAATTCTGTCTGACCAAAGGAAGGGAGTTCTACCCATCCAACACAACAGTGGCATTAAATTTATGTGAAAAAAAATCGGTAAGCRATGTTTTTAAGTTACAGGGAGAAAACAGCAATTCAAGACCTAAAGAACAGATCTAAAATACAAAAACATCTAAGTTCTCAATCCTCACACAGCAGCAGAGTTCCAAATATGTTTTGAACAGGAAATCCAGGCAAAACTAAACCATGTCCTGTCTTTTGCCCATGGGGAAATGGTAAAGGCTTCAAGCACAGTGATCCTGTTACTTAAAAGCCTCTTTTAAAATGACACAAATGTGTTACTCATGTTTGACTCAACATTACTCTTCTATCTGCACGAAGCTTACCAAGGTCAACTCGCGTTCACTTGAATAAAACATTCCACAATCATGTCTCTTGCTATCAAGGTAGAGACATTTTGCATCATCTTCCTACGCACAGAGATATTTTAAATCCTTAATAAATGTGTTTGAATAAAGATCCTATACTCTGTGCAGAAAAAAAAAACCTGAACACACACTAAGAAGAACCATATCTTTCTTTAGCTCACATAGCTCAGCGTATATGTATTACGCAGAAGAAAACAAACTGAAGCATTTCTGTAACAGAGGTCTGAAAACTTAGAGGCAAACCAGACTGAATCTGCATTTGCCTTTGGAAGGGAGGAATGCACTAAATGACTCTTACATGCACCTTGCAATTCTGCTTCAGTTAATCAGATTAAAACATCACATTTCTTTAACCAAGGAGTACAAGTACCACACCAACACTGAGTTCACGATGGAGGAACCTTCCTCCTCCCATGTATGAGTGTCATTCTTGACAGTATTGTGGAAAACATGTTTTATTAATGCATGTAAATTAGAGGTATTCAAGGAACATCTGAAACCTTCRCATTCCCACTTACATTAACAGAGAAGCTGCTTCTGCAGAGTCTCTGCAGTGTTTTAAAAATTATCTCCTGTAACTACTGCGAACAATTTCAGCAGTTTTTGTGAAGTAAAAGGTCCTGATTTTGATAACACAGACTCAAGTTCTTACTCAAGGTATTTCTAAGCTTTCCTTTCTACTCTGCACCAACTTGCTGCCTGAACAGTACACATACATTTACTGCTCTTCTTTTTAGAGCAGGTAGTCAAGTTCACAAAAGTGAAAAATGAAGAGAAGATCTRCTCTACATGGAACGCAAGACACACACAGCACATCAATCTACTACCTCCACCACACAACATTGCTTGGCCAGCAGAACCTTCACCTTTCGTTCTCCAGGTATGTACACATTCATGGCAATGAGACAACAATAAATCAAGTAACTTTACCTCTCAGTACCCAGATCTCTGTGGTTTTGCTTGGAAGATAAAACTATTGTCAAAACCRAAAGCAAAACCCGCCACACCAGCATAAAAATAATACWGTGAGTTTTATTTCAAACAGGAAGAATTTCTTTTTTTCACTATACCTCTTCAATGCCAGCAATGTTATTTACTGCCAGCTTTTTGAGGGAACTCTGAAGTTTTTTGTCATCAGCTGTAGCTGTTCTGTGCACCACCTTCTTCTTTCTGCGAGCTGTTCCCTGGGAAGAATCAAGARACAACAGTCAGCTCTGCTCAAAATCTCTCAACACTAATTGCAAAAATCATGCAATARTCTGAACAACATCTTTCAAGTAAGGAGACATTTCTGTAGTCAAAAATGCTACTGAACTTATTTCCCTTCATCTACAACTTTGGCCATCAGTGTCAATTCTAAGGTTTTCCTTAAGCATAGAAGACCAAAGAAACACCAAACAGCAACATATTTTTCCTTCCACTAAACCAGCCTACAAAAATACCATTTATTATTAAGCAATATATAATAAAATGTCCCCAATATATTTTTTCCAAAATGAAGCACCAAAATACAGTGATTTAAAAGGTCACACTTTAGCAACCAAGTCATTAACCACTTCAAAGTGTTCCACAGAGCATTTTGGAATCCCTAGTTTCCCAACTTTTGTACAATCATCCCTATGGCAGCAGATGAGCACCCACACTCAACAAACTACACACCTTTTTTTTGGTCATATTAACTACCTGCTGGCTCAGAGAAAAAAACCCAGCTCMGTGCAGAGCCTGGAGAAGGCACAAAGGAAGAAAATCCCCAACAGGAAGACCAGAAAGGCAGAACAGGAACACCCAGCAGGTGAGCTTAGCTGGWGCTTTCACAGGTCACAACAAGTCACTGAATTAAAACAATGCTTGCACACTGGAAACTGCTCATCCAGCAGTTGTGAACTGAAAAAAACTTCCATTTTGGGTAGTAGCACTATGGGCCAGATCACACAAAATCTGTATTGGTCAAGCCTCAGAATTATTTCTTTTTTCCCCTTCTATGAACTGTAGATTATATTTTTAAAAGTATCTCTGGTGATTTTCTTACCTTTCCCCCTATTCGGACCTGCGCTTGAAGCTTGGCCAGTTTTTCCTGATTCATAGTGCTATGTCTAGAGAGCAAAAAGGAAATACAAGTTCAAGTTAACCATCAAAATAATAACAAAAAAAAGTCACTTAAGAGTGCTCTTGCAATTGCAGTGGATTTTTTTAAACTTCTAGAACACTACCCAAAACAGGGTGTCAAAGGAGTACATATAAACAGAGCTTTAAAGCCACACCACCTAAAAAATCCACAGTGGTACTGCAGCAGGAAGGCCCTGCATTCAGCTGGTATCTGTGCCACGATGAGGCAACTCAASAGGACATTTCACCCCGCATCAGGCTGAGGTACTCATTTCCAGGAAGCCAGTTCACTGCTGGAAGCATTTAAATGAATTACTGACTCCAACCAGACCCAAACTAGAACGGACACCACAACTGGTTCTGGGAAAACCCCCTTATCTTTACGAGGGCCCAGGGACACACTCATCACTAAACTACCTGAAATAGGATTCATATAATTAATCTATTATGAGATCCAAACTCAGTGAAGTTCGTGTATAGACACATTTGCTATATGAACTTCTGGCAGGTTTTCATCAAATACAATGACTGGAAATTTAGTCAAAGGCTTCTCCCACGGGTCAGGTGGGACCTTTAAAGGCTAGAAGCCCTGAAAATCCATAATGGGTGAAAAAACGCCTCAAGCTTTCCAGCAAAAGGAATGCATTTCGCTGCTCTGCCCCAGCAAGTCATCACTGATCCCCGGAATGATGGGGAAACCTCCGCGTGTGCTCTGTACCGGGAAAGACGGGGAGCGATGAGCGGAGCGAGGGAAGGATCGGCGCACGGAGGGACCTCCACGGGGCGGCGGGAGAAGGGGCTCAGGGCGGCTCGCTGGGCACCCCCAGAGCACGAGGAGCGGGAGGGTATCACAGCTCATCCCTCAGGGGCTCGGGTAACCGCGGTCCCACGGGAGAGCCGCGGTCCCACGGGAGAGCCGCGGCCGCGCAAGCCAGGGCATCCCCCGCACAAGAGGGTCGCTCGCTCGGCCTCTCCTCGGGGAACGGCCCAGCGTCGGCGTAAGGAAACACGAGCGAGCTGTCGCGGCGCCCCGCCAGCCTCAGGCCGGCGGGGACACGGRAACACCAGGACACGGACACACCGGGACATGGGAACAGCAGGGCCCCTCACCTGAGCGCGGCGGAGCCCCCGCTACCAACACGCGGCGAGAACAAGATGGCGGCCGAGGAAGGAAAGAGAGGCGCACAGAGAAAGGAAGCGCCGCGCCACGTGACGGCCCCGGCCGCCCGCGGGTTGGTGGGACCGCCCACTCATTTGCATAGAGGCGGGACGGGGTGCGCCAGGGCTCCTGGGAATTGTAGTCTCCAGGRAGCAGCAAGGGACGGCGCCTCAGGGCAGGGAACGGTGCCCGGTGACCCGAACCCGGGACATGACGCTTCTAAACGCGTCACCACTCGCTCTGTCCCCTTCAGCAAACTCTCCGTCATACGCTGCGCTTGCGGTCGGTTTTGCCTTCCCGACAGCTGGGCAACTTCGGAGAGCAGCGCGACAAAAGGGTTTATTTGGGAAGGAGAAAATAAATCCGGAACCACCCCCCTCCCACCCCTGCCCGCTATAGCCGGGATAACGCTGGGGTTTGCCCAGGGGGAGTAACCGRGATTGTGGGGACTCGGTACGATGTCTCCTGCCCCGGGGGTCCCGATTTCGCCCCGAGCCCCCCACACCCCTCCACGGGTGTCTCCCCTGGCACCCGCGGGCCGGGCCGTGAGGGCAGCGCACCGCCCACATCCGCCTCACATCACTTCCTGGGCTTTAAAAAACGGGGAAAAAAAAAAAAAAGAAAAGGAAAAAAAAATCCAGCTAAGCGGGTTCTATCCTGTCCGGAGGTTCGGGCCGTACCCAGGTGCCGCCGCTGCCCGCGCCGACACCATGAAGGCTCAGCCCGCGGCAGCCTCCGTCCTCTGCCTGTGCCTGATGCTGGGGGCCTGCGCCGCCTCCTCCGAGGGAGGGCTCGGAAAGGGTCAGACAAACGCTTTCTTCGGGCTTTCCTCAACTTCTGTCCCAACTCGGGGCGGGTCCGGTCCCCTCAGCCCGCGGGGGCCGCCGGGCGGGGCAGAGAGCGCAGCGCTGGGGTCCGGGGGTGCGGGGGGGCTTTGCGGGGTCTCCGCCGTGGTGCTGCGGTTCTGGCCGAACCCCGTTCCGAGGGGCTCCGCGGAGTACTGGGGGAGCAGCCCCTCGATGCCCCAGTGCCCCGTGCCTGCCCAGCCTCCGCCGGGCTCCTGGCAAGCGATGAATGGCCCTTCCTCCGCCCTCGGCTTCCCTTGCCCTTCGTGACCGCTCCTCACCTCGCTCTTGGCTCGCCAGGCTCCTTGTYTAATTACCGTGTCTAATAGCCCGCTTCAGCCGGGGCCTGAGCCTCACCCCAGGTGCTGGCTTTGCCGTAGAGGTAAATCTCTTCCTCGGGGCTGGTTGTGACCGATGTGATCAATGACAGCAAAGCTGTGGTGTGGATCCCAGCCAGACATTCACCCTTTAATTCCCTAGATGATTTTCATTCAAAAGAAACACTCTGTAATGTGTTGGGTAATGCTTTTAAAAACATACCRAAGCTCGCCACAAAGTGGGGTTTGTTTTAAATATAGAAAAGCTTTTGAAAAGTGTTTCCCAGCTAGAACAATAGYCTGTTTTCCCTCTTTTAACATTTTGGCCTTTGACTGAAATAGCTGACGTGTCAATATTCTGGGTAAACGTSACTTCTACTAATCCAGCTGGTTTGCGCTCTGGGACGTTGAGCTCGTAAAAACAGCCCTGTGTCCAAGGCTGCCTCAGCAGCTGCTGTGTGGGTGTGAGGAGACATGAACAAGGCATCCCCATCATGCTGTGAGCTCATCTGTTTGATATCTTGCATCACATATGTCCATAGCCGCTCATATCAGCAGTGCACATCAGGTAACACAAACACTGTGCCACTGTCCACACCCCCTGAACGCTGAACTGAGATGCCCCGAGGATTTGCTGACGCTTTCTCCAGGTTTTGTGCCATTGTTGTCTACTGGCAACATGTCCACTTTGCCCTGTGTCAGCACTGGGCAGTCTGTGGCTCCTGATCTTTGTGTAGCCCCCAAAATCTGCTCCCCTCAGCACCCTGGGCATGGCGGGTTGCTGACTGAACCAAACCCTTAGGATGCGAAGGGCCAAGCCGAGCTCATGTTTGGTCATCTAGCACAGTAATTGTTAATTACTGGAGCCATAACACCTCTGAGGAGGTGTTCCAAGACAGTTCCTCTTTGTACAGCTCCTGAATCTCCTTCATCTCAGCTCTCCAGGTGTCTTTTGGCCATGTGCTGTGTTGGCTACCAAAAAAACCCAACCCTGGCAGTCGCTGCTTTGCAGCTGTTAAACATACACTGACTTACTCCTAATTCAATTGACATAATAAGACTTGTTATTTGGATGCCAGAYAAAATATTTCCTGTGTCATTCAGTCTCTGTAATGCTCAGAAATCTGTGAAATGGTGTTCTTTCTTGCTCTTCAATAATATTATCATCAGCAGGAATACTTAGCATAACAGCTTTAGAGCAATTAATGATCATATGCTGGCCTAGGAATTTTAAAGTTTCAGTTTAGTTCACCTTCAATGGGATTTAGGAAGCCAAATGCTGACATGTTTAATTTGTCACTCATCAGATAATAAAYGTTCACAGATTGAAACAGAATGGAGAATAATCAGAAGGCACTTCAATTTTAATGTCTGTTTGGGGGATTTTAGTGTCATTTACATACATACATAGAAATATTCATGAGYATGGTATGTTTTTGTTAATTAATTTCAATGGGATTCCTCATACGACTGTGTGGGTTGCAAGTATTTGGAGACTTTCCAGAAGGGGGGCTATAGTTGGCTTTTAAAAAAGAATATAAAATKAGTTGAAAATACTCTCGAGGGTTGGGCTGTTTTCCTCTGTTAGCTAGCATGTTAAATTATGCAGCATTTATAAACCCTTCTCTCTGGCAGGTTTTGGAGATCATATTCATTGGAGAACACTAGAAGATGGGAAGAAAGAGGCAGCAGCCAGGTATGTTTGCTAGTTTTAATTACAGAAACGTGTCTTCAGAAGCATTCACAAAAGGTTCCATTTCAGCCCTGAATTTAACCACAGAGAAGTCTCTATTAACAAAAATTAGGGTTATTTAGAGACTGTTCAGATCCCTACAGCTTATTGGAGAGAAAATACAGAATTTCGATAACTTTGCTAAGGCCTCAGGTTTAATCACYGCAGTCTAATTAAATGATTCAAGCCCTAACATGTCTTTGAAACAAGGAAATAGTTATCACATTAAAGAAAGATATGGTTCTTAAACATACAAATGTATGTGTAAGTTWAATCTCCTTGAACTCTCAGCAGTGCTAAGAGCTTCCCTAAAATTCCCTGTGCCTGTAAAAATGAGGCTTCAGCATGAGGTATTTTGTTTCCATCTGCAGAAAAAATCTGGAAATTTCTGACTGTAGTGAACTGACAGAACCTGATTTGGGTTAAGCTTAAATTCTAAAAAGAACACTGTGAAAAGGTGAAAAAATAACATTTTTACTTTTTCTCAGTTTCTTCTGTTTCTTGTTAAAATGTAAGAAGGAGAATGGTATGCTTATAAATTCTGCTTGTATTTTAACTTTATAACCTAGATTTGACAATGCTGACATGAGCAGAAATTCCTCATGCCTTCCAGGTTTGCTGTTTAATTTAGTTCTCTCTCAAACTGATCCATCTGGCGAGTTCTACACTCTAGTGCAGACATTGAATTAACCCAGATGGTACACTTCAGAAGTCTTACAACTTTTTATAACTTGATACTTTAGCATTTTTGAAAAAAAGGSCTAGATTATTTCAGTATTTATAGTTATAATTGTAGCATTGCTTTGCAATGCAGCAGAGGAAGCTTTAAAATGAGACAGGAGTGCAGGAGGGATGGCAAGATCTGAACTCTCAGGTTTAGGCAGGATGAGCGTTCCTGCTCAAAAAGACCCTGCAGCAAGGGATGGGATGGGTGTTGGCATCGTTCTCATCTTTAATTGCTGATGCACAGACCTGCACGCTCATGTCAGCTCAGCAGCATTTGAGTGTTATTGAAGGACTGGGAGAGACCAGTAATAGCAAAGAAAATAGAAACCTAAAAGATACGGTTTTTTCTTCCTAACTCTGACCATAGGTCAGGAGATGAAAACTTACACGAAATTATCTGTGCTGCACCAAGTGAGATGCACCAGGGCCAGTGACCTAGGAAGTTTCAAGCCTTCTGTTTAAATTCTGCACAATGAATTGGGGGGTTTTGGAGACCTCGTTTTTAATTTCCCTGCGGGCGAAGGCGGGGTCCCGTCGTTCCAACCACTGCTGCGATGGCGTTTTTGAGCCGGACGCCTGCAGGACGGTGTCGCGGTGCCAGAGCCGTGCCGTGGAGAGTAGAGCGCGCCGGGAGCTGCGCGGGGGCGGCCGTGGGGGCCCGTCCTGTGCGGGGCTCATCGCGGGCGTTCCGCGGGGCCGGGGCGGGCTCTGCGTGTGTGTGACCGGCGGAAGCAGTCGCGCCGCGTCCGGGTCGGGCGTCGCTGGCGGGGCGATGCCGCTGGTGGTGCTGTGCGGGCGGCCGGGCAGCGGCAAGAGCCGGCGGGCGGCCGAGCTGCGGGAGGCGCTGGGCGGCCCGGAGCGGCCGGCGCACGTCGTGGCCCAGGCGGAGGGCGGCCGGTCGGCGCTGCGGGCCGAGGTGGAGCGGCGGCTGAGCCGGCGGGACGTGGTGATCGTGGACGCGGGCAACGAGCTGCGGAGCATCCGCTACGAGCTGTACTGCGCGGCGCGGCAGGCGGGCACGGCGCGCTGCGTCCTGCACTGCGCCGGCGGAGCGGGCGGCCCCGACGAGCCGACCTTCGAGGAGCCCGACCCGAGCTGCCGCTGGGACCGGCCGCTGTTCACGGTGTGCGGGGAGGAGCCGCTGCCGCTGGGCGCCATCCGCGCCGCGCTGTTCGAGAGCGCCCCGCCGCCGCCGCACCGCGCCACCCGCACGCAGCCGCTGCAGTCCTGCGGCTTCCTGCACCAGCTGGACCGCGTCACGCAGGACGTGCTGGCCGCYGTGCTGGCCGCGCAGAGGAGCGGGGCACAGCCCGGCGAGACCATCCGCGTCCCCGGCGTGGCCGAGGGGCTGGTRCTCAGCCGGCCCGTGAGCGTGGCCGAGCTGAGCCGGCTGCGCAGGCAGTTCATCAGCTACACCAAGATGCAGCCCAGCGATGAAAACATGCCCCAGCTGGCCAGCATGTTCCTGCAGTACCTGAGYCGCAGCATCCAGTGAAGTGTCACCTGTGCCACCCAGCAGTGGCTGTGGTCTGGCCCCGAAGCACTCGCAGCAGTGAGAATGTACCTTCAGGCACAGACCCCGCAGAGCTGGATCCTCTCGGGGATCGGATCACTGGGCAGCAGCAGCAGCTCTGGGAAGATGGGTGCTGTGTCCCTGAAGCATCTGGGCCAGCTGCACTGCTGGGAGGACCTCCAGGGAAGCAGTTCACACCCCTGYGTTCTCCCTGMTGGCATCTTTCAAAAAGGAGAGCTRCTGGTGGATCCCCAAGCAAATGAAGTCTCCTATGGAGACATAAACCCCAGTARTCAAATAGTGCRRTGTGAAAATGTAAARGRGGATGACTTACTGCAGGCAAAACTTTTCACTCCACGTTGCATGTATATRTCTGGAACAAGAAGATTGTTTTTCCAGGACTGCCTCACATAATATCAAACTGCAGAAGAGACTCCAGAACTGGAACAGGCTGTATTTATAGGATGTGACTGTTTCAAAAAAGTCTGAACCCAAGAGAGATTTTCAACTCTGCACTGCAAAAYGGTGCTTGCTTAATAAATTCAAACTTCTCTGTTTCAGGTCTAATAATAAAATGTGTGCCTTAAATGGAGTAAAGTCTTAATTTGCTTGCAGGACTATTTTTCTGAAGTAACTTGCCRTGTCTTTCCAAGGTCATCATTATAAACCCTTAAAAACACCAATTGCTTAAGCATGAGTGCTCATAGGAAAAATGAGCTACAATGACAGTGTCTGTTCTGTGTGAAACTCATAAGTTTGTACCAGCTGGGATGGGTAGCTTAGTTTCCAATAATTCTGGGTTTTGCATACCCCAAATACAGCTTATATAAACGTCTCACTTTCTGGTAGATGCTTCATTCTTCATTTTAAGAAATGGTGACTTTTGGTTTTAATTGTATGTGGAGTGCTCCCTGGGAGGAGATGATAAAGTTGGGCAGGAAGGGTTACTTCAGTTACAATGTCTGTCTGACACACCAGCTACTGAGGGGATTTACACACTGCAGAACTGAGAAAGTGAAACAAAAATGTTTCACTTTAAATGAGTTGATGGTACCAGTCAAAGGAAAGAGAGCAAAGCTGAGAAAACACATAAATTATCTCAAACCTCTGTGAGTTCTCACTGATTAAGAGTTGGTATTTCAAGGATGTGAGCACTTCCATTTAAAATTTYTCTTAAAAACATGTTGCAGTACCAACCACCAGATGATTGAACTCTCAGTGCAGATCACTGATCCTTGATGATCAGAACAATCTGTATTTTCCAGTCCTAAATCAGTATGTTCTCAAGAAAGAAGCAAAATAGTTTTGGACGCTATAGAAACAATGAAAAAAGTGGGTTTTTCATCATCAGGGAGAGGGCACTGATGCAATGCAAGCTTTACTTTTACAAGGGAAATGTGTATACATGCTCCTTATTGCAAACAGATCCCAATATAAAGGTGATGAAATCAGTTACTTATAGATGGCAAACTTCTGTTTGAACGACTCCAAATGTTAATGACTTCCTTTCCACCTTTTCCTGGTTCTAAAGTTCATTACTGAATGCTGCTCCGTAGAGCATACTTAAGTATTTTGAGTAGAGCATTCATATCTATTTACAGCTAAAGAAAAACTCCTACATAAATTCTGCTAGTAATTAAYGCAGTTTTGTTGTGTGCAAAGGTGTTAATAATTTCTGTGTGTGAAAATTTGACTTCAGTTTTTAAGCCCTAATATAGTGCAGAGTTTGCAGTAGCAGACACCTTACAGTTTACTTTGCTTGGCATATCCTGAAAGAAGTATCCATATAGGATGTTCTCTCCAGATTCCTTCCTCTCCATCTAATTTTAGGCTGTTCTTACTGTTCTGGAAGCCATATCATTACTACATGGAAACTTAAACTCTGGGTAGCATAGGCAGTAAAGGTAAAATGATTATTTGGAAAGAGAGAAAGCCCAAATAACTTCATTCCTTTTGTATTGTATTTATTTAGTCTGCGGTTCCTCACAGGCCCCCTCTCTTTCTTAGTCCTGGCACTTGTCACATCCATCACAATTAGTTTCAACACACAAATGTGTAGRAAGCCATCCAGGCAGCCAGAGGGTTTGCTGGGTTATTGGGTTTTGTGGTTGCTTGGTGAAGGGTCTTAGTCACAGGAGGTGACTGGAACATGTGGGCTGTAATGGAGAGTGGGATGGATTGTCACCCACTGGATTGCCTCAAGCAGCCATGAAAATGCATCCTGAGATCCTGCTGACTTTAACCATCCCCAGTAATCCTTGGGAAAAAAAAAAAAAAGCATGACCAGTTGTGTATCTGAGAAATCTAACTAGAGCAGATCTTCCAAAGAAAACGTCTCCTCTACACAAGCAGTTATTGGCTTCCAGCTATAATAAATTATTATATTGCATGTTTTAAGACTGGGAAAACATTTTGCAAGACAGTCTTAGAGCACCACATAATCTCTTTACACCTCACTTATTTCCTGTTACATTTAGCCCTTGAGGAAACCTTGACTGTTAAAATTTACTTGTAATAGAATTTTTTTGACAATTTTCTTTTTTCTTTTTTTTTAGTGGTTTGCCCCTTATGGTTATCATCCACAAGTCCTGGTGTGGAGCTTGCAAAGGTAAGTGCATTTAATACTAGAGCTTGGAGAAATTTCCAGGAAATCTTTGTATACAAATCATGTAGCCATGAGAAATGTGAACTTTGCATTCAAAATGCAGCTAATGGTGTTTGTATTTCATTGAGAGTGGCATARTATGGCACTGCCATAGCAAACAAACAAGCTGGGTGTATGGCTAACCTTAAAGSATGAGGTAGTTGAGTGGGAGTGGTGGTTTTCAGCAGGATTTTTGCTTTTTGGTTCAAATATGATCACCTRTGTTTGTTGGGCAGGCTTCAGCCCATGGCTGCCAAGCAGGAATTGCTTCAGGTACCTCCTGTTCTAAGCATGGCTGGAAGGGTTTGGTATATATATTTCATTTACTTACTGCTTATTGAAAAGTAATCCCTCTCCAGAGGGAGGGATGAAATGGAGATTTTGATGATGACCTGAAAATCTGAAGTATTTGCCACTGTTTTTACATACCTTTTTTTYCCCCCTTCCTTAGCTTTAAAGCCAAAGTTTGCTGAATCCAAGGAGATTTCTGAACTTGCCCATAATTTTGTTATGGTCAACCTTGAGGTAGGCTGCTTTCTGCTCTGCATCCATGTTACTGCTCAATAATGAAGCATTTGGAATCTGGCTTAACTGGTTGCATCCTGTTTTGTGTACTTCCTAAATCCTGCACTCCTGAATMGGCATTCAGGATTGATTGATAGAACTCTTTGTTTTAAAAAGACTTTTCTTCAGTCTGGTTATTTTAATTGTGTTTATAAACCTGGCTCTCTGCCATTGTCTCATTAACAGTTTGTACYTTGTGTGATTCAGTTTCCACAAGAAAGGAATTTATGTCCATTCTCTCAGTACATTTCAAAGATTCCTATACCACAGTGGGGTGGGTAATGCAAATTGACAGACCAGAAAAAATATTGTTTTCATAAAGGATACTTATGTAGGTAAAAATAACTTTCTTTCCTTTGAGAGTGAAGGATACTGCAGTTACTTAGCATCTGTTCAAGATGTAAATTGCTCAGGGTAGAAGGAATCTGGAGGCAATAACTTGTTTCTGTAAAAAGCCCCATGTTTTGTTAGATATCTTGCTAATATCTACCCTCTCTTCTGTCTTGCTGTGGTAGGATGATGAAGAGCCGAAGGATGAAGCCTTTAGTCCTGATGGAGGYTACATTCCCAGAATCCTTTTCATGGGTAAGGCATCCACAGTTGTTGTRTGCATTCACAGGACTGGGTTCTTACTGTTTCCACCTAAATTTCCTGTTGGATTTCTTGTTTCATAGATCCCAGTGGAAAAGTCCATCCAGAAATCATAAATGAGAGAGGAAACCCCAGCTACAAGTATTTCTATACCAATGCTGATCAAGGTATGTGCCAAGTATTTTGAAGTGCATTTAGTGAGATGAAGCTTTGTTAGTGCTCAAAAATTAGGGTACTTTACAGCATAACTGGGAGCTGTTAAATACAGTGTGAGTGGGTGGTTCTCTAATGCCTGAGGATCCATGTTGAAAATCATAGTAATACCTACTATAATACCTATAGGACCTATCTTTGTCTCCAGTAGTGGCATGGGAAATCATGGAATTTGCATGATCCAGCTACACATAGCTGGRGAAAGTGTACAGGACTGTTTTTTTTCTTACAGATTAATCCATAGATGTACATTTTGAAACTGTGTTGTTTTGAAACACTTCCATTACCAGTTCACCTTGATGCTTTCATCTTGACATTAATTGTTGGTATCTCTCTGTGTCATCTTTCAGTTGTCCAAGGGATGAAGGAGGCCCAGGAGAAGCTGACAGGTGATGCTTTCAAACAAAAGCACCTGGGAGATGAACTATAAYGGATACACTGAATGATATTTTTTCATCACTTCAAAACTAAGAGGAAATGATTAAACAGACCAAGAATGTAGGTGCACTGAAGGGACATAATTCCCTTGTCAACAATGTTAGGTTAAACCCTGTTTGGAGTTCACACACACACACAGCAGTTACAGTGTTTTCTCTGCCTGGCAGTTTGCACTGTGATGGTTATTTGCAACTGGCTAATGTACAAACACTTCCCTTTGTGTGTTTGAGCAACCACTAATATTTGATRTTAAAAGGGAGGTGTGTAGGGAAAACATTGGAGGACAATGTGATGGGAAAAACTAGAAGTAGCCAACATTTTGACACTTAATCAGGGTTGAATCTCTCTTTTCTCACTGGTATTATGCCACCCACAGTTTTTACTGGGCATTCCCATGACTGGGGCATGTTCCTGGGCCAGGTGTTTTCTGGATATCCAAAACCATGAATTCTGCCACTATACCAAGTAGAATACATTTCATGAATGTCCAAGTAGCATGWGAATTATCAGCTCTGCAAATGTATTTTTGTGTAAAACCGTGTAATTCATCTTTATTTGCCTTTGGGCAGAAATTTAACCTTTTCCTTATGCACTCACCTTTTGATTGTTCCATCAAGTGAGGGTGGGTTATGTTGAAGCTTTACGGGGTTTCCCCTTTTATTCTTTGAATGTTTTTGGCGAATGCCTTGCCATCACATTGTACTGTATTTTTGTACCAGGGTGAAAAAATTAAACCTTTTTAAACATAAGCATGGAGAGAGTGTTTTGTRGTTAAGCATGGTGGGATATATTTTTGTTTCTGTTTCAGTGATTATTGATGTTGAATATCACAGCTGAAGGTTCCTCCTTTTTATAATTAAAAGAYATCCATTGTTTTTCCATGTAATTACAATTCAGCCATTCTCACAGTACCCATACTGTTGAAGGCAATGTGTTTATTTACTGGAACTGAAAAGAAGAATAGAGGGGAGTAAAATCACCCCTCTTGACCTGCTGGGGACACTTTTCCTAATGCAGCCCAGCATGCTGTGAGCTTCTTTGTCACGCAGGTGCATTGCTAGCTGATGGCCAGCTTGTTCTCCACCTGGATTCCCATATTTTCCTGTGCAGCAAAACTGATTTCTAGACATACTGGTGCACAGGTTGTTCCTCTCCAGGTGAAGAACTTTGGATTCCCCTTACTTGAACTTCCTGACAGCTTTCTCTGCCYGTTTCTCCAGCCTATTGAGGTCTCAGAGGCAGCACAGCCATCTGTGTATCAGCTCATCTGATCTCAGAGATCATTTTCTACAGATACTTTTTGAAGAGCTATCTGAGGACATTAGGTGGGGAAAATTGTTGTATGCAATAAACTCAATTTGTCTACTGAGTCTATTTTTACTGTTCAGCAGCATTAGAAATTTTGCTTTCTRAATCAGTCTAAGGGATTTTAGACACCAAAACTCAACTGGGCACTAATAGACAAGGATTCAGTGGAAATATTGAGATTATTGCACATTGCAATTACCCTGCTCAGCTTCTAAAAGTTACTCTACAGGCRTTATCCTCTGCTTCTCTTGCAAATTGTCTAATAAATTACCAATGGAATTGAGCTCAGCAGCTACTCTCAAATCACAGMCTCAAAGTAAATCTATACAAGCCTTAAAAAAAGGATTTGTGTTGTGCAAAATACTCACTTTTCCCCCAGCTCTATCAGTTGATTAAATAAAAAATAGTTCCTATCTGATGTTCATTTAATTTACAATTTTAGATTCACATTACTAAAAAAATTATTGTTATGGTTTTTTACTTACCACCAGGGGGAGGACTCTGCGTGTTCATCTGGKTTAGGATTCAACAAATCATAATTAAAAAACAATCTCTGATGCAAATTAGCAGGCTGCACCTCTGTGGGTTTCCATGCAYGGTTTTGCAGTGTCTCTGCCCTTGTCTTATCTCTACAGTGAAACTGCAGCCTGTAAGATGCACAGGGACACACATCAAGYGTCCCTTTCTTTGCAAAATGCTCTGATGTCAGAAGCAATGTGGCCTCAAAGTAATTTTTTTTTAAAGTTCTCCTTCCAGAGACATCTCTCTTCAGTAACAGATACGGGCAATGTGCTTCATCCTTTACATTTAAGACTACYTTGATTCAAAATTATCCTCTTTCACATCTTCTCTCATGCATATCCTCTCCTTCAGCACTTTATGCCTTCCAGACTTGGTACTTTGGAAGGAAAAAATTGTTCCATGATCCTTTGTACTTTGGCTATCTCCTCTCTAATCCTTTCTACCCTCTGTRTGTTCAGACATGGTGGGCTGGTACAGCTTCCCCACCCTCTCTTCCACTTGCTCTTTTCTGGACCATGTTTTTGTCCTGTGTAGCAGGATGGAGCTTGKCACTTGCTGGCCTTCTTGGTGTCTAGCTGGGGTCTCAGAATATGGCATAAGTTCTGTCACAGCTGGATTGCTAGGGACAGCTGGTTAACTTGTGTAAAAGCTCTTTCTCATCTCTGGATTGCAGGGTGAACTTACTTTCGATCTGTCAGTTAAGTATTTTTCTTTTTCCTATCTGTTAGTTTTATACCTGGACATTTTTGTTGCTATCTCCTGCTTCAGATTCTTTACATCCTTCTTCATTTTAATCTAGATAAGGTGGTACAGATGGTTGGCATTTTCTTCTGTGCAGAGGGATCCACCCAGCAGTTGCTTTATGTGTGTTGTGTGACTTTATGCACACAAGCAAGTCCCCAGAGAAATTGCTTGCAGGTCAGTGTTTGCTGTAGATGTGTTTAAAGTTAATGATACACTGCAGCAGTGCTCAGTAACCAAGGCCTCAGATTAGTTTGCCCCCATCAGCTTTGTTTCTTGTACTGTCCATCTGTGTAGTGCTTGCAGTAACTTATATACTTCTTTAGATGCATCCTAGAAATCCCCTTGGATTCTCAGCTTCTCCTCCTTCCATGGGGATAAGAAACGCAAAGACACTTCAAAATTCTCAAGTATAGAGCCAGAGAACTGCCAGGCCAAATGAATCTCTCATAAACAAACATGCTGTCAGTTCCCTTTCTCCCAGAAAAAAAACCTACAGAGGAAAAAAACCCCAAAGTTAATTAGGAAGTGCCTGGATTGCAGCTCCCGTATGGCTGCCTGGGAGTAGAGGTTGCTTTGTGCACCTGAGGCTGGACAGGCTTTAAGCAAGCATCAGCTGGAGACTTGAGAAACCTTTCCTTTGCCATGTTTAGCAGCAGGGAACAAAAGTGCCACAAYCAAGAATGCCTGCATGGCCAGAGTGTCCCGTCTGTCATCCTGGCATGCTGAGTTTAGCAGTCACCTACTTCAAACACACTTTTGTCCCYGTGGCTGTCTGCCTGCCACTGTGCCTAGCCTGTATCCAACTGCTAATGAGCTTCATTCACTCAGAGCTCACTTAGAGCTTGTGTAATGAATAGCTCTGAAGTGAGATATGATTAAACCTCTATGAATATGAGGTGATATATCCTTGGTGATGATGAAACTTAACTTACGGCAGGAGGAGAGGCATTTGCATTTTTGTTGTGCTGTGATATTTATTTGCACCTGACCCGGTATTATGCCTGCTTAGTTTTGCCCAGCCAGGAGAACCACTCCAGGGCTATCCCTTGACAACCGTCACTATAGGTGGATCAAAACTTGAGACCTGAGGATGGAGATTCAAAAAGCAATAAAGATGGAATTAGTCTGAACAGAGCTCTCTGCAGAGAGCTGAAGAGGGGAAGTCTGCAAATTCATGCTTGTTTCAAAGAGAGCAAAACCAAAGATGAAGTTTCTCTAAAAGGTTGCACCCCCCTTCCAGACAGCTGTGTAAGCTGGTTTTGGCACTSACTGGAGAGGGAAGGTTGCTGCCTGGAGGCAACCAGGAAATAATAATGAAGGTCTGTCTAAATGTTAAAAGTCAYTTTGTCTCGAAACTATTTGGCGTATTAACCCATTCCCGCTTTCCTCCTCAAAGAAACAGGTGTTGATTTGTTAAGCAGTTAGTCAAATAATCTCAGTTTGCTTTTCTTCTCAAAGTTTGTCTAGAGTAAGGTGTGGCTGTGCACAGTTCCCAGGCCTGCCATTGTCCAGGGAGCACCACTCCTGCCATTGCAGCACCAGCCCGGTGCCACCACGTCAGCACCATCCGAGGAGGAGGAATCTCCACTGACAAGTGCCAGCCAGCTCCTGTGACCTGTCACAGGCAGTGGGAACAGGGGCCAAAACTTGAGTGATCCTCTCCAAGATGTGAAAAATATCATGGCATGATATTGTGATGRTGAAATCTACAGTAAGTTCCTTTGATTAGGGACAAAAAAAATATAAAAATAGARAGATCCCAAACTTCTCTGTTCACAACTATGCTGGAAGCAGGGACTGGCTGACCTGTGCTTACAGCATTCCAGGTTCTGACTCAGAACAGTGAGAGAGGCTTTACACACCATCCTSTGCTGGCTCCCATCCCAGGACAGGGCAGAGGCATCAGGCAAAGTGCAGGGAGCAGGCAGGATATGGGGAACAGGCAGGATTTGGGGAGCAGGCAGGGTGCAACCCAGGTAAGGGGTCACAAGTGGGTGGGTGCTGCTCCCATGTTTTCCTCTGRCCAGCACAGGTGTCTCCTCCTCCATTTCCCATGTCTCTGCTGTGATGTGGAGAAYAAAGGGGAGCCAACTTCCTAGAGTTTCCACCCTCTCAAAAGGGCATGATCCCATTGTTACCACTCCAAGTCTGGCAAGGGAGGAGCTGGGGCAGAGCTGAAGGGGCAGGAGAGAGTGGAYTGATTTTGGTTAAGGCTGTAGATARCATGCTGCTGATTAGACATAATTTGCTGGAATACACTTATTTTTGGACCATTTTGCACAGGCACAGCATGGCGTAGGTAGATGTGCTGCAGAAATATTAATTGATAAGAACTGCAGATGTTCTCCCTGCTTTTTGAGAGTGCTTCAGGTCACAACATAACATGCTGTGCATAAAAGAAGCCRCATTGGCAGCACAGTCAAATTTGGATGTCACTTTATTGTGCTATTTCTGATATTATGAACAGTGTTCAAAGAGCCATTTGTGAGGATTTGGGTACATTAGCCCTGTTAAAGGGAATGAAATTTGCACACATCCTGGGGACACAGCATGGGCCATACAAGCTCTTTATTMCACACTGAAGTGGAGAAGCACCTGGGTGAGTGCTGCCTATTCAAACAAGGAGGATTTTGTTTGTGGGTGGCATGTTTTTACTCCTCTGGACAACAGCTGCTTTAAGTGTTTTGGTGCTGCTCTTGCTTTAAGAATAAATAAATCAATACATAGATTGATAAATTTATTTTTTAAAATTCCCTTTTTAGAAAAGAGGGTACTGAAAAGATTAGATTCGTTTCTTTAGATCAATTGCATTGTGTGAGGATGCAGTGTTTTGAATTTAAAATGTTGGGAGAGTAGTAGAGCATGTGTGTTGTGCTTGATAAATGTGCTCTCATGGCTGCTGTGAGGGAGTGAGATAGATCCACGCGTCAGAAAACAAGATAAAGCACAGCATCTGCTCTTCYCTTCCACCTCCACGTGCTTGTGGGAGTTCTTTCCTGTTTCCTTATTTCCCCATCTATAAATCTAAAACAACAAAGACCTCCCCCACTGGAAGTTGTGTAAGCAATTCATGACCGTACAACGTTAAAACCTGGAAGGGAAGTGCACTAGGAGAGCAAAAAATATTCACTCYATAAATTACAGAAACATAGCTAAACAAAGTGATAGACAGAAAAAATCACTACAAATTCTCCTGTCCCCTAATTACCTGGGTGCATCTCTTCCTTTGCTTATCYCTGACTGAGAAAGAGCTTGTATGTAAACACTCAGGCATTTCAGGGGTGGCATGAAATCTGAAAAAGCCTTTGGAAATTAGGATYGAAATTAGGAAATTAGTGGCTCTGCACTCGTGGCTGCAGTTATAGGATGTCAAATCACGTGATTGCTACCAGATGTCCAAGTGAGCCTGAGCCCTAATGCGTCCTTTGYATCAAAGGGTCAGGTATGTGCCCATGACCACCATGACCACCATTCCTTGCTGGTGCTTTATAGGGCTGTGGGATCACAATGGTTTTCTAGACTGAGCATCAATCAGCAAACTGAAAGAAAAGCTCTACCCATGCTGGATAGACTAGAAGTCAGGTTTCGGCAACGGCAGAGATCTCCTATCCCAGAGCAACAAGAGGATTGCAAGGAGCTGGAAAGACTTTTGTAGGTGTCAAGTCTGCTAGGCTATCTTTGAAATACTTGTTGTAATGGGCATTTTTGTTGTGCTCTTCATTAATTCTAGTTGCCTACACAAAGCTGATACCTTGCTTAAGGCTTAAACCAGGGCCTGGCTTATATAACAATAATTGTAGTTTGTGTTTTAATGGCACATACACATTTTCATGCTAGATGAGTGTAGAAAATTACTCTGATGTTGGGTAGAATTGTTCCCTGGGCCACCTGGTAGATAGTTCTGACTGGAGTGAAATGAAGAAGCTGTATGGCAACTGTTAAAAAGCTCAAGTTGGTTCGTGGGCTGGTTGGCCTAGGAGCTAGCCCAAAGATCACTGAAGAGCAGAGCTGAGGATCAGATGCTGAATTTCACAACATGCTTCCACAAGTGGACAAAATGATCCCTGTCTTCCGTGGGCACTGTCCAAGCTGAACCGAAGTGCTGCACATCCAACACAGAAGCACAACGGGACCAAGCAGACAGGATCAGTGCTCTGGGGGACGTAGCAAGGTGCAGAGATATCTGCACCCCAAGTTTTAGAGGCGTCCTGAGTTCAGAGACAGAACTGAAGACAGAAAYCCTGTAAATCCAGCACCTTCAGGCAGCTCCTGCTCTGGCCTCCCCTCACAAGGAGCCTCGCCTGGGGCCCAGCAAGACCCTTGTGTTCGTGCTCAGGCACTTGATTAAATCCTGCCATCTTTGCTGGTTGTTAGAGAAGCACTTCATCAGTTATGTCAGACACCTGTGTAACATGTTTCAAAAAAAACCCAGTATATTCATTCCGTCTTGACTATCATCTCTGAAGGCTGTATTGGTTTACTGGCAAGGAATAGACCATAGGTCTCTGATTCGAACTTGGCTTCTGAAGGATTTTAAAAGCAAGAGGATCCACCACAACCTCTTTGTCAGACCTCCTTCATGYGAATGACTTAGATTGCAGCCACTGTCTTACTTTTTTGTCTTGTCACCAGTAAAAATGTAGTGCCTGATGACACAGCCGCCATCACTAGGCTTCAGAGTTAACAGTGCTACTGATGAGAATTCCAGCCCGTGTGGAAAGTGAGACAAGAATGGCAAGTTTGGGTCGTGCGCGGGATATTTTCCCAGCCGGCGGGGGCTCCAGGAGCGTCTGAGGCGATTCCCCTTCCCGCGCTCCCCACCGGCCCCCGCCCCGCCCCGCCGCGCTCCGCCCCCGGGGCCGCCCCAGGTACCGGCGGGGGGGCGGCTCCCGCCACGCGAGCAGCGGCCGCGGAACCGCTCGGCTCGGCTCGGGTCACTTCGCTTCGGCTTGGCTTGGCTCCGCTCATCTTACCTCACCTCACTTCACTTCGTTTCAGTTCGGCTCGGCTCAGTTTGCTTCGACTCGTCCCAGCTTGGTTTGTCTCGGCTCGGAGCCGCCGCTCCTCCGCCTCAGGTAAGAGCCGCAGCCCCTCTGAGGGGGCTCCTCTCGCGCCGTCGGGGCTGCTTCCCCTYGAAGGTGACGAGGAGGGGGCTGGCGGTGTTCCGCGCCTCATGTCCCCATCGGGACCCGCAAACTCCTCCCGCCCYCCTCGCACCGACCGTCGGGGCTGTCCCGGGGCTCCGCGGGACGGGAGCCGGGGCTGGCAGCAGGAGGTGCCCGGCGGGTGAGCGCCGGGTGGGTGCTCCGTGCCCCGAGGTGTGGTGTAACGGGCAGCCCTTGGCAGCGGCGGGGCGGAGAGGGCAACAGCAGTTCCATCTCTAAAATAAACATTTCCCAGCAATGAGAGGCGATATAATATTGTTTTATGAGATATAATATTGTTTTATCTCTAAAATATCCTCAGCTCCGCGGGGGGGGGGAGGGCTGGAGAGCGGAGCCCTCCCGGCTGTTCTCCAGCTGGTGCGGAACCCGCCCGTTCCCGTCACYCGGGGCAGTGCCCGGCTCGGGAGTGGGGACAGGTAATAATAACACAACTGCTCGGTRATGGAGCACTGCCGGGAAACGCGGCATCCCGCTGTCGTCGTGGCTGCTCGGGCAGGGCAGGGACCCGCCGCTGCCGGACTGCACAGCCCGAGCTCCCACCGCAGAGCCGCTGCTCGGCAGAACGGGCGAGGAGGGGACTTGCCGGTACGCCCACTGCCCAAAGCCCAACGGATCAGTCATTCTAATTTAGTTCATAAAAAGTATAAACTCTCCAGTTTATCCAGTTTATGCTACACAAAACACACGTGAGGGTTTTTTTTTCCGTGCATTCTGAGACGACGCCTTGTTTTTCCCCACTGTTTTCTCCGTGTTTGCCAGCAGCCCGGCAGTGTCGTTGATGTCTGCGGTGACACCAGGCTGTGGGACCGCAGCGGTGTCACCAACACCGGCACGAGTGGCTCCACCTTTTCGCCTCTCAAGGTCCTGTCTCCACGCTGTCCTTTCTTTCTTAAAAGTGCGACGTGTTGCGTGCTTTTGCAGTGCATCAGGTTGATCTGACCCAAATTAAGTGTAACTTATCCAAAAAAAAAAAAAAAAAAAAAAAGTGGGGGTTAATTTTAACCTGGATTTTCCCATGTCCTGAGACAATATAAGACCGTGGCCTCAGAATACATTTCTGTACAATTCTTTGGTGGTAAAAACTGATTTTGACTTCTCCTGTTGTCTCATCACTTATTTCTCACCTAGTACTGCACTCTCAGTTGTGCAAATAACAGTCTGTGGGGCTTCAGAGTCACCTGGATTAGCTCTGGGTTAAAATGAACAGCCTCTTGTGAATGGGATTTTTTCTCCCCCTGAAGGTAATGTTACTGGAACTATAATTTTGAYCTCTGTGTTTGTAACTTTACCCACATCAGTGGAGCACTGCTATTGGGTTATTGTGGGTACAAAATTGAATCCATACACTGCTGTATGGAGTGGGTAACTAAAAGGCTTTTATTTCCTGTTATTTGTGCTTGCTATCCTGTCGGTGGTTGTATATGCATTTACTGAGACTTCACTGCCTTCAGGACAGTTTCATCAGAGCAATTTATAGGATAAGTCAGAAGAGACACAAATAAACCACTATTAAAATCAAGCTTCYTTTGCAATTTCGACGAAATTGTGCTGCCCTCTTTGCAGATCTGATATATTTTCAGGTRACAAAGTGAGAACACTTGTTAGCTTTAGGTTTTAATAGCATTAGTGCTTGTGTGTAGCAAAGCAATGCATTTGGTATTTGTTAACGTGGTGGTGGTTGTTTGTGATGTGGTAGTCATGTCAAGCTGTGTGTAGTTCACAGATTGTTTTTCCTACCTTGATTTTCATGTTTTCATGCAGCTCCAGATTAAAATGGGCAGGTCACAGCATCACAGTTCAGGGTCTTGCATCAYATTGATTGTAGTGCCAGGGAAGGGCTCTCATGTCCATCCCCAGTAGGTCCATGACTGTTCTCTTTTACTAGTTGGGCTGAATAAGTAGGGTTTTTTGAGGTAGTTCTCAATGGCTAATATTGAGAATGTTTTGATCTGGTCATTTCAGGTATGCTTTTTGCTGTAAAAATGTATCTTGGGTTTCAGGTTCTGCATATTTAGTGAGCTCCTGGAAATGTGTGCTCAGCTTAGTGCAGTAGTGTTTGATATTTGACATAAGCAGTAAGCTTTATGTTTGAAAGTATTAGCTCATTAAAACACGGGAAGTGTGAGGGTGCTTGTTGTAATCCCAGTTAGCAGGTGGCTTACTTTGCAGCATGGGAGAACATCACAGCACAGAGAAATGAATTAACTTATTCATCACAGATTTTCTGCTTGGAGGAGGAGGATAAAAGGCAGCAAATTAAACTTCTGCACTGCAGAGGCATCCTGAGCTGGCCCTATCTCTGTGTAGTTCTGGTTTGCAGGTGGTTTCTACAAGGCAATTCCAGTCTCTGGTCTCTTAATTTAGTCAGGACGGCAGCTTGCATTCACCTATAAGTGAAAGATTTTAGACCCAGTGATGCAGAAAAATCTGTAGCTGTCTCATGCTTACTGGTGGAGGGGTGTMCATCCTGAATCTGCTTGTGGCCTCACTCTTGCTCCAGACAGGATGAGTTCCAACATGATCCTGAACTTTCCTTATCTTCCACCACTGTGGGAGGGCATGGTCATGGCTTTCTCCATGGAGGGCTGTATCCCAGCAGAGCATAGCTGTTCCCTGCCTTCCAGCTGGGGAAGGATCAGCAGGGACTCACACGTGTCGKGTAGCAGAGCTGGTGCAGATTAGTYGTGTGTGTTGCTCTGTGTGCTCTTATGTCACTGCTACTTCAGTGTATTCAGCAGTGAGATACTCAGAAATACCTCRCTATTGCCAGTTCCTTCCTGGAGAAAGAGGCAGAACTGCAAGGCTGGAGGTCTGACGAGAAGGGGACTGAGTTCCGTTGTCTCGGCCATCGCTGCGGTGTTTGTGACAGGAAGGAAGGGCTTTGAAGGCAGTGAGTTTTGTAACAGCCATCAACCTCCTCAGTATGCGGTTCAGTGTTCTCTGGGACTGGGCTGGATTCAGGGTCTGCTTGCAGTTCTGTAAACCTAGAAATTGGCTGGCTCTGGGATTCCAAAATTCAACCGAAAATCAGGGAATTGCAGAAGTCTCTGCCTCCACTCTTTAGGGCGTAGGGAACATTCAAATCCCCTGTTTCATGCATACCTGGAAYAGAGCTGGGTTTAGTTAGTGGGTCCCCTTTACAAGGGGAGATTTTTTTTCCTGTTAAATATTTTTCTCTTTTTTTCTGGAGTAGTGTGCTTGCCAACAGGTATAGAACCATGTGATGGTAAGAGAGTGGCAAAAACTCAAGAAAACATTCCGAGAAGAGTGAAGAAATGTGGAAACTTATTTCTTTAATTTTTTTTTTTTTGTCACTGGAAAAATTAGAGTGACTAATTCCTCTTTCCTGAGAGTTTTATTGTGGCTCTAAAATGGACTTTGAGGATGTTGAATGTTGTGCAGGAAATGGGAGAGGCATGGCTTGATGTTACRCTCGAGGAAATCTTTTTAACAACAGTCCCAGCCTACTGTTGAACCAAATGTAGTTGTAAAAGTGGATAGCAAAAACGTGGTATCTGCTGGTTCTTGACTCCTACTACAGAACCAGCAAATTCTTAAAARCCTTTTTAAAGCTCTCTTTAAAGCCTGTGATCCCAAATCTAAATGGGTAATGAAAAAAAATAACCAGTGACATTGCTTAGAGGTTTTTGTCTTTGAGTTGTCATGCATATATTGAACTTTTTTTGTAGCATGTAAATTCCAGACCTAACCCACTACAAGCATCTTCTGGACTCATTAATAAATGAATTTTACTAAAGATAAAGCGCTCAAGATGAAGAGCTCATAATTTTGAAGTAATAAACATAGACTTTCTGTGCAGAGTTGTATTATTTTTGTTCTAGGTCTGTCAATTGAGCAATTCAGATGACAGCCCAAAATCAAGTCCTGGATAGTACTGAAGTGTGAGCCAGAGGCTATCACAGGGAGCAGCTGCTGCAGAGGGCAGGGCTATGGGAATAGGAGGAAACGTAATGAATACAGAAAAATGTGCAGTGCTTTGGGCTAGACCAAGCTGCTGTCTTGTTGCCAAGTGAAGTGATTGTTGATAGTGTGGATCCCGAGAAAGRGTTTATCTTTGATCCAAATTCTGGTCCAGAGTAGGTGGCTGCAGCGTGTTATTTACCTAAGGTCCAAGTTCGCCCATGTGTTCTGTCAGTCTCCAGAAGGCAAGATAATGTAAGTCAGGATGACAAATGGGCTGTACYCTGGCTTACTGGAGAGGAAATGCACCAGACACAAACTTGGCCTTTAGATTGTATTAGCCACGAGAAAGACAACTATATTCTGTTACGTTTTTCTGCTCTGGAATAATTATTACTTTAAGGCAGTATATGTGTTGTAAGTTGCAGATGTTTCCATGTCCTATTGCAGTTGCCTTTGCAGCACGGTAGGCTTTGATCCAGGCTTTGTGCAAAACACTTGTGTGTACAGATGTATTTTAGCTGCTCCTTGATTCCATTTGCTTTGCTGCCTTTCTGCAGAAAARATGTAATGATTCCTATTTAAAGTTTCCCATCCTTTGGTGAGATTTATCTAGAACCTCAGTTTTAGATTACTGAATATAATCTCCCTTTAATAAGCTTTAAACTGATGGCTTCGAATACTTGCTGTTACTTTAATGTCTGTCACTAACTCAAGCACTGTTTCTGTTCTCTTTGTACACTACAGGACTTTCTTCTTTATCTTCAGTGGAGGATTTCTGACCTTACTCAGCACTGTGTTCCCAGCCTAACCTGCCTACCAATGATTCTGTTATCTAGTATTCTTATTGTCCACCTTTATCATAATCATTGTAATCCTTTTGCTTCTACATCGCAGGTTCAACAGTGTGACCACTCTCTTGATTCATATACTCACAGCAAAGCCTTCATCTGTCTCATGGATTATAGATCTAAATTGGTAACTATCGC